CCCAGAACGGCATACTCGCACTATACTTTGCTGTACACTAGTGCAGTGCAATTACAATCACGGCAGTGCCTCTGCTGGATAAGAAATGCTAGCTCCCAGCTTTGGGTAAATTTCATGAATTCCCTTTAGTTACGCATTTCCACATGTCCCAGCTCCCGAATCGTTGGGTACCCTTAATTTCTTGCTGATTTCCTAGCCGGGCTCGAGTCCATGGAAGGTACCAAGCCACAGGCTGTTTTCCGTTAGGCTAGACAGACACCGCCAGGACGGTGTTCTTTTACACTTGGGTGTTTACATGCAACCGCCTGCACTTAGCTGCACACTGACTGACAAGTTGCGAGTTTTGGGACCGCAGAGAAAGAAACTGGGTGTGGAAACCACCCGAAATAAAAGAACCTAGCCCCCTACAGGTCTTATACTGGCTTCTTCCCGGTGCCCTGGGCGTAGGACCTGGAAACTGGAAACCACCAGCATAAGAAACGTGGCCCCCTACTAATCTTATTTTGGCTTCTGCACAGGCTTGGGGCCGGGAAACCACCAGAATAAGAAAAACGTGGCCCCCTACATTTCTTTTTTGGGCCTCCACCCTGCGCCCTAGGCTTAGGCTTAGGGCCTGGACACCATCCGAAACAAGAAACGCAGACCCCCACAGTTCTTGTTTTCATGGTTTTCGGGGCTTGACAACACCCGACTTAAGCAACGAACCACCCAGCCAAAGAAGAAATGACACCACAACGTTGGGTACCCTTCATTGTCTAGTTAGAAGGCACTTCAGAATTTCGGTTGTTTTTGTGCCAGCCGCTAGCCCCTATCTTTCTTATCCAACCACTTCTTGAGTGATTACACTGTATTACTAGTGCAACTACAAAATATCGTGAATAAAATATCGCTATATACATACTATAGACAATTCCGCTCCCACATACCTGCCAAAACCGCACTGCATCACCCCAAACCCCAAGGCCATCTCGACAAGGTTCGCAAGCGCCGTCATAGACTCAGCTGGCTTTGAAGATTGCCGCATTCAGAGCTTGTTTTCCATAGGTTTCTAATCCTCCGCATTGTTGCAGCTACATGCTATCAACTGAAACTCGCGGAACCCAGGACACCGTCTGATCGCCGATCCCTTTCGCCGCAAACTCGAAGGGTTTAGGCTTTAGGGATTGGGGAAAGCCTGTTGCAAAAAGGGATAGGCATATATATATATATATGTACACATAATCAAGCAGATGCTTGCATGGTGCTCGTGTTGGCATTCTGTCACTGAGTATCACAGCAATGGCGGACAGACCTCCTTGCTTGGCTAGCGATGTGCCGCTGTGCAGGTTTGCCAATCTCTAAACCATTCGACCAGCCTAGGCCGATGGGCTACTCGTCTGGTCAAGGACACTTCGGGAATTCTGGGTAACCAAATGGGTAGTTGTCCAAATTATGGTCCCTTTTGGGGTACCCTAAATAATAGGTGCCGCATTATAATAAGGACCCAAAAAGGGACCCTAATTTGGACAACCACCCAAAAAAGTTGTTTTTGTGTTGCGCCGATCTGCGCCAGTCCCGATGGCCCATGGCCATGGAGAGCTGGGGCCCTGGCTGTTCATAGAAGTTACATATGTGTACGTATGTATGTATGTATGTATGTATGTATGTATGTATGCATGTATGCATGTATGCATGTATGCATGTATGCATGTATGCATGTATGCATGTGTGTATGCATGTGTGTATGCATGTGTGCATACGTATATATATATATATATACACGTGTGTATGTACATACATCTATATACATGTATGTGTATATATATATATAGCTAGACAGAGGGAGAGATCAAATGCTTTCCAAGGGATGAGTTGCATTGTGCTTCGATCAGCCCTGGTACAGTTTTTGTTTGCATTTGTTTCTGGATTGCCCTGACATTGATGCGGAGAAACCTCTGCTACAGGTTTACACGCCTGTCCTCCTCGCAAAGCAGCTAAGGAGGCACACCCGATCACGCGAGCCACCGAGCCTTGCGCCCCCAGCTCAGCTGAACTACGGTCTTGAATCATGGTAGTAAGTAGTATAAAAGCTGGTATAAGAGTTGGTATATGCGATATGCAGCGCTGCATGCTGCGGATGTGCAGCAGGCATAGGGCCAGAATTTGGCCGCTATCCTTCCTGGCAGAAAAGTTGCTGCTGAGGTGGAGTCCTGCAACTGATGGTTTGGGAGGTGTGTGTTCTGTCAGAGGCCAGCCGACGTGAGGATTGCTACTTACTCGTGCTGCATCACGACGGCAGTTGGAGAGAGAAGTCCTTCGAGGTTTTGATGATAAGAACGATGGCCTGCTGAAGCTCTTCATTGTAGTGGTGATTGTGATGACCATGGGTGCTGGCAGCTTTGCGCTGGAGTTGCCAGGCACGCCTTCAGCTCCATGCAGATCTGTTCAGACGAGGTGGACACACCGGCCTACAACAGTAGATTCGATTCGAGTTTCTTCGGAACACAGCAAGTGTGCCTGAAGCTTGCTTCTGTGTGGCATGAGTCTAGAGCCTGCTTGGGGTAACGGCCTCTGGCAATGACAACAGCTCTATGTTCTGCCTTCTGCAAACTATGTCATAATTTATGCCGAATGTATCATGCAGGTTCATGCAAAACTTGTTTTGTTCCGTATTCCATCAACACAGCTCGTCGAAGGTATTGAGATTTATCACAGCTGAGACTGGTTGAAGCTAATTCGTTTCTGTTCCTGCACGGAGCTGTGCCGATCGGTCATGAGGCGTGGAGGAGCCAGCATCTTTATCGTCGTAGATGGCTATCAATTGGTAACTAATTGGTATCGTACCTCCTTGTGTCGACGACGCATGCACTGCAAGAGGGTAGCACAGCCTGTTCCTATTTGATTGGCCTGAAGATGAAAGATGGGCTATCAGCGCTTGCAGAGGCAGCGCAATCAGGAGGCAAAGTCCACCTGCGCCTGTAGATTTTAGCAAGCTGCTGTTGATGTTGCGATTGGTTCTGAAGAGGATTCTAATGTTATGTGCAGACAGGTAGGACGGCACCCTGCGTGTCATCGTATCATTCGCGAGGCTAGGCCTAAAACGGAGTAGGGAACCATCGAAGCATGCAGCACCACATTCAACAGTTCGATGCCAGAGAGCGACTGTACATTGCCACCGGTGCCTACTCGGGCATTCACGAAACGAGCCGCATGCGATGAAAACCTCGCGCGGGTGTACTGCTGCATCGGACATCAGCACAAGTTTTCTGAAAATGGAACCTTTTGTCGAAAGTGGACAGAAAGGCAGTACGACAATGTGCATTGCGCTGGCACGAAGCATATGCTGTGGTTCAGTCGGGCGCTACTTCTATGCCCCATCCAGTGTGCATCCGTTGTGTGCGGGAGCACCATGACATGCACATGTCTTATAACTGAAGGTTGAACACCATGTGTTCACCCATAGCAGGATGGATTTAGCAAGTGTAGCCATCTGCAGATAGCGCCGATAGCGCCAACATGTCGATGCCACCAACCACAGACAAGGACGGCTGGCCACTTGTGACCTACTAAGTACCAGAAAATCAGGAAACCTGACATAATTGCAGCCCCTGGCCTGTGTCAGTACTTGCTGTCTCTTTCCAGTCTCCGTACTCAGACACCTCGTCTTGTGCCAGATGTGAGAGTCGAACGAAGACCAGATATACTGTTGGGTCCTCACTATAAGAGCCTATAGTACAGGCCCTAGACTCTAGACAAGACGCTTGTAGTTTTGGGAACCGTCCCTTTCTGTGGAGCCCAGCTCCTTTCCTGCTTCCGGATGCGCGCGTTTCAGGCGGGTTTCTCGGAGGTTGACCTCCAGGCCGTCGCTGGGAGGCGGCACTCTGAACAAATTGAGCAAACACTTCGCAGAACTTCACAGGTTTAGGGTTTGCCGGGTGCTGAGTTGCTTGTGCCTTTAGAATCATGCCTCCTTTTCTCATTTCTGTCCCGTTGCCTTTCAACCCCCAGCTGCTGCAGCGGGCACGCCCTGCGTTGTGATAGGAGCATGCATCGTGTGGGTCACTGCTCTTGCGGAGACTGTCAGCTCCCGTGTAGGCTGTGGAGGGAGCAGCCGGCACTGAAGGCAAGAAGGGATATGTTACATCGCCCTGGAAGTGTACAGCTTTCATTTCGATGAGAGCTCTCCGGGCAGATGCAGCCTTTGCAGCATTGCAGGAGAGGAATCAAACCTCCAGCTGGTGTGTCGTCTACCCCCCAGATCCACAGGCCGCGCACCACGGGTCGCTGCAAGCCCAGGATCACGCTTCCCAAAACAAAGAACACAGCTTGCCCCTGAATCACCCCTAAATGGGACTTTCCGAAAATTGGGGTACCTTATGATGGGGGTCCTTATTAATAAGGATCCTACTATTTAGGGTGCTATATTAGGGTCCCCTATTTTCGGAAACCCCTAAATCTTGTAAACCCCAACGTAAAAGAGCCTAAACATGCATATCGAAGCCAGTTCGCCAAAGAAACCTTTCTGGAGTTGCAGGCAGACGTTTCCGACAAGCAAGGCCAGGCTAGGTTATCAGTTTAGTTTCAGAAGTCAGAGCAATTTCTACTTTGGGGTGCATTCCTGCACGATTCGATGAGATTCCGGCGCTCCGGAGAGTGCAGCATGCGACGAGAAGAACAGTCGTCCTGCTTTAGGTTTGCCCGATTCAAAGAATTCCGGAGCTGCTCATGTTTTGACCGACCTGCTGTACCCTATAATTCTCGGCCGCCCAATCCACAGGACATACCGCAAAACTCAGCATGTCGTCAAGCCATTATTGATCCGGTCCTATGCAAGAGGTGTAGACGAGGACACCTTGAGCCACGCCAGCAGCCGCACAGTGGAAGTCATGCCGCGAGGTGCGCTGCTCACAAACTGTTAAGAGGCACAAGCACACGTTGCATGTGACCAGGAGTCCTTGATGCTGACTGTGAAGCTGCCTTGCTCGAGTGCACCAATAAATCAGATAAGCAGCTGCCGGGCCATGGTGGTCATATCAGTAACAAGCCTGGCGGGAGAAACGAGCCCTCTCCGCATCAACGAGGGCTGTCTGAGGGCTAAGCATGCATCACTATCTCTCTCTCTCTCTCT